CGGCAGCAACAGCGTCGGCTAGGGCACCCCTTCGGAGGGCGCTTGGAGGGCCGGGGCGGCCCACTGTAGCGGCGGCGGTCTGTAGGTGGTGGTGACGGCGCTCGGTGGCGGGGGCTGGTTCCCGGCGAGGTAGAGGGTAATGCCCCTGACCGCCTGGACAAGCTCCCGCAGGGTGCCCGACACCTCCTCCGGCCAGAGGAGTGGGGGCGGATCCCCTATAGTGGTGATGGCCGCTGGCGCGGAGGGGGCGGTGGTCCCAGACGCGATCTTCGTCATCGCCGTGGAAGTGGCTGGCGGCAGCGAGAGCGGGACGGAGGTGGATGGTAACATCGGCGGTGATGGAGGGATTGACATGATCGGTCTGGTGTCTCTGATACCAAATTGGTAGAATCAAGTACTCTACCAGGTCTACGCCGTAGGTGGTAAGGGAAGGATGGAGGAGGGCGTGGCGAGGAACAGGCGCGCCGGCGGCAAGGCGCCGTCGCGAGCTAGGAGAAGGGCGGCGACGGTTAGGGCTGTTGGCGGCTAGGGTTTCCGGCTCCTTAGGGAGCCGGGCAATAGGAGATAATATTCTTCTTATTGCTTCCCCTCAAACGATGTCTTACACGAGTATTTATAACTTTATCCTAAGATAACTTGCCTAAGATAACTTGCCTAAGATAAGTTGTGGGCCAAGCCCCTAATACTAATGCCCGATGGGCCTCTTCCTAGTATAGACCAAACCGGTCATAACAGTGAGGCTAGCGCCAATGCACAAGGATGTTCAAATGACGGATCAAGGGCGGATGTGTGAGTATCAGTAATGAAAATACCTTGAAAGAGAATACTCTAATCCTCACGGTGTAGCAACGATCTCAGAAAGGCTGTGAAAGAGACTTGTCATCGTCTGGTGTGCATCCAGAATCAACGCTTTTCGCTTCCTTTGTTGTAGCGGCCTCGAGTCTGGAGCTTCTTTTATTTCTTTGCAAGGAGAGTCTGCAACAGAGCCTTGTGGTCACAAGCGATCCCAAATCTGCCTACCCCCATGGTGTTCCGTTGATCAAATCTGAGAGGAAGCAAAAGAAAAAATGGGCATGCGCCTCGTGCACCTTATTTCTGCGGGTTCATCTCCAGGATTTGAATGGCGGCAACGATGGGATCCGGGCGGCGCAAGGAAGTGGTAGAAGGGGTGAATATGTTAGAAGCAGCAGTATTCTCATGGCAGTGCACTCCCGTGGCCCTCTATGGTTCTATAATGGAATCACATGCCATTCCGACATGGAAGGATGTCTAATGAGTAGTGGTGGGTGATACCGCACCAGGTAGAGGTCTAGGGAGGTGGGAGGGGCGCCCCCAGGCGTACTGAATAAAGGAGGAGGAGAGGAATAGGCCGGCGAGTGGCACACCTCCATTTGTGTTAATGGCAACATTACTTCTTGCTTGAACACTGGTGCATCTATGCCGGTATTCATGCCGGATTGTTTCCTTACTTCCCCTTCAATGTCCCTGAAGAAGCGCAGCGTCCCAATCTCCGCTGATTTTTTTGAGAAATTCTCCACTGATTCTTGTACCATATTGGTTGTGGTAAGTGGGCCGATTTTGCTGCAAATGTATACGTTGGAGTCATGAGCTTGGATGGGCTTCTCCACTTGAGCAGAGGCTCATTTAACGATAAAACTTCATTTTTGTTATGGGAGTAGCAGCCCATGTGGCATGTGGTCCACTTAGCGCTAATTAAGTGCATCTAAGGGCCAAAATCAACAACAACACGTGATCCAACGGTTAAAAATGTTGATGACCTGAGAGGGCTAGGAAAGTGCGCAGTTTTAATGTATCTAAATAAGTTTCCAATCTACAATTCTACTTTACTATTTATTTTGCAATCTTTTTTTCTAATCTATACCACAAAAATACCAAAAATATTTATCTTATTATCTTTATCAGATCTCACTTTTGCAAATGGCCGTGAAGGGATTGACAACCCCTTTATCGTGTTGGTTGCAAGGTTCTTATTTGTTTGTGCAGGTACTAGGAGATTTGCGAGTAGTCTCCTACCGGATTGATACCTTGGTTCTCAAAAACTGAGGGAAATACTTACGCTACTTTGCTACATCACCCTTTCCTCTTCAAGGGAAAACCAACGCATGCTCAAGAGGTAGCAGTTGCTTGATCCATATGGTTACAATCCATAAGAATTTCTCCTTTGGATTCATCTGTACTAGTTTTCTTAGGGAACTTTTCATCCACTCCAACCCCTTGTGAAGAAGGCTACATTTTTCTAGATTGTAATCAAATGCCATGTTAATCATGTCGGATCGAAGATGGCATGTTAGTGCATTTTACAAATCCTGCAAACCAAATAGGCCTGTAGTAGTGTTCAAAACTGCATGTAGGCACTAACACGTTTTCATTTTTTGTAGATAAGATTAGGCCCGGTGGTGGATAATGTGACACAATATAACAATAACATCAAATGCTTAGATCTGCATCTCTCAGAAATTACCTTGAACTCCTATCGAGGGACCTTACCAGAGATTATATTTGCCAGGTTCTTTATTGTCAGAGCAAGGGTGCTGAAGGTAATGAGGTTTGCCCTACATTTATTTCACAAAAAATGAATGGTTTGTTGATCAGTGCCGGCAGCTGCAGCAGAATGGAATAAGCTCCGAGAATTCTGAATTTCATTTTGGAACTTCAGATGACAGACTAATCGGAAGTCATCGTGTCAACCCCATACATGACTTCTCAATGGCTGGCCCATTTGCAAAAATTATGAGGTTTCGAAACCAGCCATACAAGTGGTAATATTAGTTTGAACCTCTCTTATATCCATGTTCAGCGGTTTAGTGCAAGCGTTTGCAGCTGATGAGCTGAATTTCATTTCTAATATCAGTTTGAACCTTGTAATCTTTGAATTTGAGCCATATAACTCTGGAATTTGAACCTTGTAATATTTCGAGCTTTTGTGGTACAATCGTTGAAAATGGCATCGTATGAGACTCGTATATTGGTAGCACTGTTTTGACCTTAATATGCAATGTACTTAGTGAAGGAAATATGCCCTAGAGGCAATAATAAAGTTATTATTTATTTCCATATATCATGATAAATGTTTATTATTCATGCTAGAATTGTATTAACCGGAAACATGATACATGTGTGAATACATAGAAAAACAGAGTGTCACTAGTATGCCTCTACTTGACTAGCTCGTTGATCAAAGATGGTTATGTTTCCTAGCCATAGACAAAGAGTTGTCATTTGATTAATGGGATCACATCATTAGGAGAATGATGTGATTGACTTGACCCATTCCGTTAGCTTAGCACTTGATCATTTAGTATGTTGCTATTGCTTTCTTCATGACTTATACATGTTCCTATGACTATGAGATTATGCAACTCCCGTTTATTGGAGGAACACTTTGTGTGCTACCAAACGTCACAACATAACTGGGTGATTATAAAGGTGCTCTATAGGTGTCACTACTAGAAAAATGGCTATAGCCAATATCCCTATTAGTGGCGCACCATGGTGGTGGTGCGCCACTGCTATATAGCAGTGGCGCACCAGAAGCAGGTGCGTCATTGTTATTTTTTTAGTAGTGGCGCACCTTTAGTCCAATGCGCCATTGCTATTTTTTTCCCGGGTCCACCCCCTTCCCCAGGTTTACCAATGGTGCACCTTTGCCAGGTGCGCCATTGCTATTTTAGATAGCAATGGCGCACCTAGCAAAGATGCACCATTGGTAAGCCAGGGAGGTGGGCATTTTTGTGTAGCAATGGCGCACCACCCCCTGGTGCGCCATTGCTATGTGCTGCACCGACCGACCATAATTCGAGTATTTTTGTCTGGTGAAAAGAGAATCCAATCCAACCAAAGCAACACAACACAACGCTTCCTCCTCCTCTCCCCTCGAGTCGATCCCCTCCAAACCCGCCGCCTTCACCGTGGACCTCCTATCCCCATCCCCACCGGCGTTCTTGTATCCTCTAGCCTCACCGTCGACCTCCCGCCCCGCCCTGCATCCCGTCGCCGGTGCCCCCACCCTCTCCCCTCTCCGTCTCTTCCTAGGAGGGAGCGAGGCCTCAGATCCACAGGCCGTGGCAACCACCACCACCGCATCCTACTCCTTCCACCCCACCTAGCCGCCCTCTGCCTCCACAGCTCTCCGTCCCTCCCTCCCTCCTCGCGCCCACGGCCATGTCGGAGATGCTGCTGCTGCACGGGCTGACAGGGAAGAACAAGCAGGCGTGGAAGGAGGGAAAGATCCGCGGCACGTCGGTGCTGGTCAAGAGCGGCATGCTCAACCTCGGCAACTTCAACTCATCCGTCCTCGACGGCGTCCACAAGATCCTCGACGGCCAAGGACGATGGCGTCTCCTTCCATCTCGTCAGCGCCACCACACCCAACCCCCGTAAGCAGTCGCCTCCTCTCCCTTCCTCTCACCCCCGCCCTGCATCTCAGAACTCACCACGCCATCTCCTTCCCTACATCGCGTGCGTTTCAGTTTTCCTCTTGGCCTTGTCCCTGCAATCTGTACTGTTGATTTCAATCCAAAATAAAAGAACAAGCAGTGCAAATTTGGTTCCTTTTCTTTTCTTGCCGGAGCCAATATTTGTAATTTATACAGTTTTTATATTTCCAAAAGGGAGATGAAATCAACGATGGCAGGGGAGTCAGTTTTTCCGGGTCATGTTTGAGTGGTCGAACGACTCATAGGGCATCAACAGCGCCATTCCGAGTTCTTCCTCAAGACGCCCACCCTCGATGGCATTCTCGCAACAAGAGTTCTGGCGTGTGTTTCAGTTTGCCTCTGGCATTCTCGCGACAATCTGTATTAGCTGCCATCTGTATTGATTTCAGTTTTTTTTAAAAGACGATCTGTATTGATTTTGATATGTTTCCTTTTCTTGGCGGATGCATGACATGTTTCCTATGTATGTATAGGTACACTTCTATGTTTTCAAAGTTGGCTGGCACAGAGCAAATTCATCAACTAATGCCATCTTCCAGTCATTCTTTTATTATCTGAATCACTCACTGTAATTTGTAGTACTTGGAAATTTACTTGTGGCAGTCTGAAGCTTTATTTTAGTAATATACTTGGAGAATTTCAAATTGATTTTGGGAGCAGAACATGTTGATAAACTATAGCACTTCGTCTTGTGGTTCCTACTCAGACCCCCTCTGTTGACCTGCTTCCTTTACTAATCTAATCAGGGATTGAAGGTTGTCAACAAACTATATGAAGGAGGAAGGGACATCTTGATCGCAAGTGACTAACTGGAAGCAACTGAGGGAGGTAAGATGCATGCATATTCAACTTGCTGGTTTTCCAAGTTTAGGACTGTATTTACTGAATAATTAAGTTCTTGTGACAGGGAAGTATGCATCCTGAATGGCATAGACTCTTGGCTTCATGAAATGACCCATGTCTATAATTCAAGGTATCTTAGATCTTCGATGTCGGATGCAAATAATTGCTCAATTTCATTTCTCTGCAATGTTCATTCTCACATATTTCTATCATTCTTTGCAGGGATAAAGTAAAGAAAAAGAAGAAAAGATTACTAGAAGATTAGTTTTAGATTTTTCTTTTATTTCCTTGTAATTTTTCTTTTGTTGGATACTTGTAAAGACATTGTAATATTCTTACTATAATAAAAATTATGATTCTATTTCATTTGTTGTTTTTAAATTATTTTTCCTTATAGGTTGTTTTCTGTAAATTTGGATTTTTTTTGTTTTCCAAATACATTACTAGTGGCGCATTTCAGCCCTTATTAGTGGCGCACCTTCCTTTATTACTAGTGGCGCACCTGTAAGGCTATTAGTGGCGCACCTAGAGGGAATACTAGTGGAGCATTTAAGAGTTAGTAGTGGCGCACCAGAGGTGCGCCGTTACTATCTGGATTACTAATGGCGCACCCGAGGTGCGCCATTACTATCTGTTACTAGTGGCGTGTTAATAGTGGCGCACCTATAGTGCGCCATTACTAACGAAAATAGGTGTGTCACTAATAGAGTTTTTTCTAGTAGTGTGTCTCCGAAGGTACTTGTTGGGTTGGCGTATTTCAAGATTAGGATTTGTCACTCCAATTGTCGGAGAGGTATCTCTGGGCCCACTCGGTAATACACATCACTTAAGCCTTGCAAGCATTGTAACTAATGAGTTAGTTGAGGGATGATGTATTACAGAACGAGTAAAGAGACTTGCCGGTAACGAGATTGAACTAGGTATTGAGATACCGACGATCGAATCTCGGGCAAGTAACATACCGATGACAAAGGGAACAACGTATGTTGTTATGTGGTTTGACCGATAAAGATCTTCGTAGAATCTATGGGAGCCAATATGAGCATCCAGGTTCCGCTATTGGTTATTGACCGGACACGTGTCTCGGTCATGTCTACATAGTTCTCGTACCCGTAGGGTCCGCACGCTTAAAGTTCGATGATGGTTATATTATGAGTTTATGTGTTTTGATGTACTGAAGGTAGTTCAGAGTCCCGGGTGTGATCACGAACATAACGAGACACTCAAAATGGTCGAGACATAAAGATCGATATATTGGATGACTATGTTCGGACACCGGAATGGTTTCGAGGAGTTTCGGGCATATACCAGAGTACCGGGGGGTTACCGGAACCCCCCGGGGAGACTAATGGGCCTATTGGGCCCTGGTGGAGAAGAGGAGGGGCGGCCAAGGGCAGCCGTGCGCCCCGTCCCCCCATTCTGAATTGGACAAGGAGGGGGGCGGCGCCCCCCTTTCCTTTCCCCCTCTCTCTCCTTCCCTCACCTCTCCTACTCCCACATGGAAGGGGGGAGTCCTACTCCCGGTGGGAGTAGGACTCCTCATGGGGCGTGCCTAGGGTGGTCGGCCCCCTCCCCCTCCTCCACTCCTTTATATACGGGGAGGGAGGCACCCCTTGGAGACACAACAATTAATCTCTTGGATCTCTTAGCCGTATGCGGTGCCCCCTCCACCATAATCCACCTCGATAATATCGTAGCAGTGCTTAGGCGAAGCCCTGCATCGGTAGAACATCATCATCGTCACCACACCATCGTGCTGACGGAACTCTCCCTCAAAGCTTGGCTGGATCGGAGTTCGAGGGATGTCATCGAGTTGAACGTGTGCAGAACTCGGAGGTGCCATGCGTTCGGTACTTGATCGGTTGGATCGTCAAGACGTACGACTACATCAACCGCTTTGTGCTAACGCTTCCTCTTTCGGTCTACGAGGGTACGTGGACACACTCTCCCCTCTCGTTGCTATGCATCACCATGATCTTGCGTGTGTGTAGGAAAATTATTGAAATTACTACGTTCCCCAACAGTGGCATCCGAGCCAGGTTTTATGCGTTGATGTTATATGCACGAGTAGAACACAAGTGAGTTGTGGGCGATACAAGTCATACTGCTTACCAGTATGTCATATTTTGGTTCGGCGGTATTGTTGGATGAAGCGGCCTGGACCGACATTACGCATACGCTTACGCGAGACTGGTTCTACCGACGTGCTTTGCACACAGGTGACTGGCGAGTGTCAGTTTCTCCTACTTTAGTTGAACCAAGTGTGGCTACGCCCGGTCCTTGAGAAGGTTAAAACAGCACTAACTTGACGAACTATCGTTGTGGTTTTGATGCGTAGGTAAGAACGGTTCTTGCTCAGCCCGTAGCAGCCACGTAAAACTTGCAACAACAAAGTAGAGGACATCTAACTTGTTTTTGCAGGGCATGTTGTGATGTGATATGGTCAAGACATGATGCTATATTTTATTGTATGATATGCTCATGTTTTGTAACCGAGTTATCGGCAACTGGCAGGAGCCATATGGTTGTCACTTTATTGTATGCAATGCAATCGCCCTGTAATTGCTTTACTTTATCACTAAGTGGTAGTGATAGTCGTAGAAGCAATAGTTGGCGAGACGACAACGATGCTACGATGGAGATCAAGGTGTCGCGCCGGTGACGATGGTGATCATGACAGTGCTTCGGAGATGGAGATCACAAGCACAAGATGATGATGGCCATATCATATCACTTATATTGATTGCATGTGATGTTTATCTTTTATGCATCTTATTTTTCTTTGACTGACAGTAGCATTATAAGATGATCTCTCAGTAAATTTCAAGATAAAAGTGTTCTCCCTGAGTATGCACGGTTGCTAAAGTTCGTCGTGCCCAGACACCACGTGATTATCGGGTGTGATAAGCTCTACGTCCATCTACAACAGGTGCAAGCCAGTTTTGCACACGCAGAATACTCAGGTTAAACTTGACGAGCCTAGCATATGCAGATATGGCCTCGGAACACTGAGACCAAAAGGTCGAGCGTGAATCATATAGTAGATATGATCAACATAGTGATGTTCACCATTGAAAACTACTCCATTTCACGTGATGATCGGTTATGGTTTAGTTGATTTGGATCACGTGATCACTTAGATGATTAGAGAGATGTCTATCTAAGTGGGAGTTCTTAAGTAATATGATTAATTGAACTTAAATTTATCATGAACTTAGTACCTAATAGTATTTTGCATGTCAATGTTTTTTGTAGATAAATGGCTTGTGTTGTTGTTCCGTTGAATTTTAATGCGTTCCTTGAGAAAGCAAAGTTGAAAGATGATGGTAGCAATTACACGGACTGGGTCCGTAACTTGAGGATTATCCTCATTGCTGCATAGAAGAATTACGTCCTGGAAGCACCGCTGAGTGCCAAACCTGCTGCAGGAGCAACACCAGATTTTATGAACACCTGGCAGAGCAAAGCTGATGACTACTCGGCAGTTCAGTGTGCCATGCTTTACGTCTTAGAACCGGGACTTCAACGATGCTTTGAACGTCATGGAGCATATGAGATGTTCCAGGAGTTGAAGTTAATATTTCAAGCAAATGCCCAGATTGAGAGATATGAAGTCTCCAATAAGTTCTATAGCTACAAGATGGAGGAGAATAGTTCTGTCTGTGAGCATATACTCAGAATGTCAGGGTGTAACAATCACTTGATTCAACTGGGAGTTAATCTTCCGGATGATAGCGTCATTGACAGAATTCTTCAATCACTGGCCCCAAGCTACAAGAGCTTCGTGATGAACTATAACATGCAAGGGATGGATAAGACAATTCCTGAGCTCTTCGCAATGCTAAAGGTTGCGGAGGTAGAAATCAAGAAGGAGCATCAAGTTTTGATGGTCAATAAGACCACTAGTTTCAAGAAAAAGGGCAAAGGGAAGAAGAAGGGGAACTTCAAGTAGAACAGCAAACAAGTTGCTGCTCAAGATAAGAAACCCAAGTCTGGACCTAAGCCTGAGACTGAGTGCTTCTACTGCAAGCAGACTGGTCACTCGAAGCGGAACTGCCCCAAGTATTTGGCGGATAACAAGGATGGCAAGGTGAACAAAGGTATATGTGATATACATGTTATTGATGTGTACCTTACCAGAGCTCGCAGTAGCACCTGGGTATTTGATACTGGTTCTGTTGCTAATATTTGCAACTCAAAACAGGGACTACGGATTAAGCGAACACTTGCTAAGGACGAGGTGACGATACGCGTGGGAAATGGTTCCAAAGTCGATGTGATCGCTGTCGGCACGCTACCTCTACATCTACCTTCGGGATTAGTTTTAGACCTAAATAACTGTTATTTGGTGCCAGCATTGAGCATGAACATTATATCTGGATC